TTCGCAATCTTTCCGATTTATTGCACGGCTAGAAAAGTCGCTTCGTATAAATTTTGCTCACGCCGATCTACCGCGTCCGGGACTTTCCCGGGACACTTCTCGCGATGGCTTTGTCTTCTTGGCAGTCGACAGAATTTAACACGGTCGGAATCGTATCCGTAAAGCATACCTGTCGTCATCGGAATTTTTCGCGATCCCGCCGCGCTTTCTCATCCGCAATGCGGACGAAATGCGGCATACCGTCGAATATTTATGGAGCATCGCTCTTGGCGGAAAATTGCTTAATATACTCGTCGGCTTTAACGGCTCATAAAATAAAATCCTCGTATTAACGATCTTGTGCAGGCCTATCTAGAGTCTATTAATCTATTAATATATCGATCTAAATGATGATCTTTGCAGAAAATCACAAGATAATTGATCCATTTAAAATTATTAAGCATATTCGATTTAAGTTTGTTATCACGAATCCTTTCTCAATTTTAATAAATTGCGATCAATACCCCGCATCTTAGAACTTTGAAACGATATTATATGTACAAGATATATGAGAAAGATCGAGTCAGAAGATAAACATACATTTACGTGCACTTAAATGTCCCATTGTATTAAACTTTATTAGTTTCTTTCTCTCTCTTGTCGGTGACTCGTCCAAAATAGAGTAAAAAACTCTCTACGCCCACAAACCCTGTTTGTAAAATAATCTAACTATTTTTACTTTCTGCTTCTGTCGCCAACAGAAAACTTTCATTGTAGAAATAGAAAAAACGCTCTCGGATATCTGGATGAAAAAGTGGCAAGGCATCCGAAAAGGATTTTGAAAAACGTGAAACATTTGGCATGATATATTGTAGTTTAATATGGGCGCTTCTGATATATTTAATTCTAAGATACTTAAATGTAAAAATAAAATTTTGTAAAAACTTAACGACGCCAAATTTATCGCGAAAGTAAAAGAGTGACACGTGAGACACAAGAGATACGTTTATTAATAATACCAAGAATGACCGCAACGACGAACATTGGGATGTCAGTTAATGACCGAGTGACATGACCATCGCTGTTGTTCCTAAATTATAACTAGTGATTCAAGACACAGAGAGATAATTTTGGCATAATGCTATTTATATGCTACTGCCAGATGTCTGTGAAATGAGATGATAAAGAGTTGATAAATGGTTTGTATAATATTTAAATATTGTCGGTGACAAAATGCGTGCTTTCAATCGTGTCTGCCATTATTTTGACATAAAAAGATCAACCACATAATAATACTATCTTTCGTAATTTATTTTGACAAATTTTCTCCCAAATATCTTTATCTATCGTTATTTTCATTTGTATTTTATTTTGCTTCCTCTTTTTTTATCGTGTCTCGTTTTATTTTACACATTTTTGCACGAGTATGTCTCAGAATCTAAACTTATCTTTTGGAATCATTGATCCTTTCGTAGTTTTGCAACTAATCTAGGCAATGAGACCCATGAGAGAGATTGCATAGGTGCACTTAATCAATCCATTCTATCAAAGGTGGCGGTTGCAACCGATAACGGGAAAAGCAAATCGTATCGCCTCTCACTCTCGAGTACCCATTGGAGAAGGGGCGGAAGTTCGATATACAATGTTGTATGCGCTCGTTGTAAGCGCACGTATATGCAAGTGGTTGCAAAGGATCGATGGAAAGGTAACCAGGAGGGGGTATTTGCACCACGGCAAAAAAATACGGCATTCCAATGCGGCTACTCGCGAAACGCAGTCAGTGAGCCATGCATGGAACAGCAATGTACAAACTACTACTTAAGTCTTTTTTACGCTTTTTTTCTTCTTTTTCAATAGATTCAATAAAAATATCACATCCTAAAGCACATAAGTGTATTATTGTTTATATTTTATTATCACATTATCAATTATTTAATAGACATTCTTTATATTTGAAAGATAATTATTGTAATATTTAATAATTATGACACTTAGATATTTTTTAAAAATAAAAAATTTACTCATATTTTAAATTAAATATAAATTGTACATGAAAAAGTATTTATTTTCATAAATCAATTTGAAATAGATCTCACCGAAAAAAATGTAAAATTCATTAAAAAATTAAATCAAAATGGAATGAAAATTGTAAAACAGCATTTTTAATGCGATTTATTATTTCACCAAAGACGTAATTATTTACTAATAATATATTTAATGACACTCGATATCGTATAAAATGTGCCATACGTATTCATAAATAACAGAGATATGATGAAGACATGTTACATCTAATAACTAGAAAATATTATTCAATGCGAAATAAAGCATAACTCCATTCATTTAAATTCACTACATTAAAGTCCGATATAGTGCATTCGATTGAGAATTATGGTGTGAACGGGACCTTACATCGCGCCGTTACTTAACGCTGTTAGGGAAAGTCTCGAGACCGCAGATTTGCGGTAAACGTAGGCTAAAGAAATTCTCAACCGGTGCAGCAGGCAAGGCCGAGGGATCGACTTCCGATTTCGAAATCAACCTAAGTATCCGATCGTTCGTTTCGTTTCGCGCAATATCTGGGATACGGTGGTTTTTAGCGAACGCGGTATTTGTGTCAGTCAGACTTGGCGATTCGAATGTCGGCGTTGAAATGGCCGGTGATATTAGCATACGCCGGCTTCGCTTTTACTTTTACGAGTCTCGCTCGAACGTCAGACGAAGGTTAATCAATTCGCGTATTAATTAAGACCCGGACCCTCCGTGTTGTGTAAGTGTGTCTGTAATTTTGGTAGTTCAACTGCGAAATGAAAACGTCCTTCTTACGAAAATGCTTCGTTTTTTAGATTACATAAAGTTGAATTTGTGATCGCGAAACAGAAGTAAATGCATGAAGATTATGTGAAGATTCTCTTACTTAGTTGATCAAGAATACTTATAAAACAATAATTAATCAAAGCTCGATAATTAATAAAAATTCAATTATATTATTTTATATATATATATATATATATATATATATATATATAAAAACATTTATATATATGTTAACATTTATATTTGTAAATAATACAAAAATTTATATTTATCTTGACATTTGCAAACATATAAAAATTTAATATTTAGCATATTTAAAATTTAATATGATAAGTTTCTACATCATAACAATTATAATTCATTTATTCAATTTTTCATAATGTCTCGAATCCATTAAACTCGTATATTGTCTTCGTGTTTAATATAATGTTATTAAGAATATATTCTTATTTAAAAAGTAATCATCTTTTAATTAATAAAAAATAACGACTTATTAATTATTCAATTTTTTATGTTTTGCATAAATATAAAAATAAAATATACTACAAAACGAAGTAATAAGCTTACATGCTTATAATGTTTATGTTAATCTATGCGCACGTAAGAATTAAGAAGTAGAGTCATATTTTACCTAAGTTCATACAACACACTATCGATAATACTTTCAAAAAAAATCAAGATTTCGCCCACTTGCGTGATTATTTTTAAAATTGATATTTACTATCACAAAGTATCTCTTAAATTGTTTTTCTGTTTACGAGCGAGTCGGTGTAGCAGAACGACGTAGATCAATTAATAACATGGAAAACGCTACTGGTAAAATAATAGTTTTCGTGACAGTGTAGCTGTCAATCGGCACTTCCGCTGCTACTTCTAAATTACACATCAATAAATATACCTGATAAAATAACGCGTTGCCTAGAATGTAAGTTTCTGTCCGTTTTTGTCCTGAATCCGTCCATATAACGTGATTACATATTAAATCCGATAAATTTGCAAGATATGCAATCAATGCGACCACCTCGTGATCTATAATTTATGTCCCTTCGAAATATGTCATTCAAAACACATATTTAACGCATACATTCGTGTTGTTAAACGATATTATTTTTTAACAACGTTTAATCCTGATATGGCTTAAAATAGGATAAGTTAGACTAGCTCGGTCATATAATGCTTTCTGCGATTTTTGCCGCAAGAAAGCTTGGGCAATGATTTCTTCCAAGAACGATAGATCGAATAAAATATCTCTGCAGCGTTGAAAGTAGCACTATCGATTATCTCGACTTATCGTAGGCAACGATAAACCAGACCGAGCAACACTCGAAGGCGATAAACTTTATCGTTTATCAAGAAAAACGAAGAGCACTGAGAACGCGCGATATAATTATTTCTCAGTTCAGATTTACAATCGAAAACGAACAAACATCAGTCCGTCTCGTTCATCTCGCCTTCGTAAATTAATCCAAAGAGAAGCTCGCAAAATCGCCGCGGGAATGAACCGAGAAAAAAATATACATCGCATCGAATATAATTTTTAGCGATTAACGTTAAACGCGATATTTACACGATTCCCGCACGTTCTCATGTGAACGACGATAATTCCCGTCCTTCGGATTTTTCTATCGCACTCGTAAAGTGATATTTATGAATATTTATCACGGCATACCGAACATGGCGCAGTCAAATCGATGCTTCTAGGACGTCGATAAAACGAACCCCAAGACACATTGAACACAATAAACTTTAACTGCACGATAGTACTCTATAATCAATAGTATAACCGTCTTTTTTGCTAAAATCAATGATCGGAGTCGAGTAATTTATCCACAATTTGTTTTATCCGAGATTACGTTTTTTCGTAACATATTTCTAAAAATAAGAATTTTAACATGTAAAATTTGCAAAATTGTAGAAAATGATAGATTTTTACCATGAGCTTCGTTCCAAGCGTTCACATTATCGTGAGATTTTCGCTTAAGAGAAAAATAGATCGAAAACCAATAAATATACTGACAGAGACAGACTGTGGAAAGTAATGTTCTGGGAAACGCGATGGTAAATTCAAACAGAAAATAGTTCCGTCGTTATTTTGGTAATACATCATATGGTCTGTCTGTGACAATAGGACAGTGATATCGATTTCACCGATATATATGAGAGCTAATGTATCAAAAGAACATGGCCACGTGCACCGAACGTACCTTATTGCAGCGCAGCCAGAGAATAATAGAATTTGGATATCTAAGGGGTCCTCCTAATCCGCAGCCACCGGCGGTGCGTTGGGCTTTCAGAAGCTCGGAATGTGTTTTTCCGTGTTGATGGAAGACTTCCAGAGATCTGTAAACAAAAATTCAATTAAATTTCAATTTCGTTTTTAAGAATCTTAATCCTACACAATCTGACTTATCTTTTCTATAAAATTACAATTGTATGTATAAGATTACATTTAAATCCCTTGCAATCCCCTATAATTGAATAATACAATGTCAGTCACATGATATGCTCATTTTGAGAAACTTTTTTCACAGCCTGAAGAAGCGTCAAGAAAAATATTAAATTCTTGATGTCAAACAAATTATGATATAAAAACTAATATATAACAAAATTTTATCAGATTTATATTATTATTTAATATTTAATAAGAATTATACATACACATGTACTGTCGATTTATTAATCTTAAAAATATATTCGCTATCACTGACGAATACAAAGATAAATAAATCACGGGAATTATGTGATAAAAGAACACATGTTATTTATATTTGCATCAATATTATTACATCAATATAAATGCATATGTTATATAAATACAATACATCATATTCAAGAGCGACCGACTTGGTCTCGTAATCCTGTAAACTAGTCAACCATAGAAATGCATGTCTCTTTAATCGTTTTTAAATATCTAGTATACTAAATTCTCGATTTAAAACTCGATGTTACTTTGATCAACATATCAAGATTTGAAGATTTTTTTTTACGAAATCGGCAAATGTCTCGATGTCCTTCGACTGATTATAGTTAAATATACATATTCAAAATCAAAATTTTGTATCATGCGACAAATCATAAACATTTCATTTGAAGATCATCTGTCGTGAATTATCGCGAATCGTTGCATCTCGCGTGACAGCGCCAACTGAATTATTAAAGACTCATTCAATCAAAAATACCGGGAATAATAGTACTTTGACTTTGTAATTAGCGAACGTTAATTACACACTTTATCAGGTACTTATTCATCGTATTCTTATCTTGATACTTAAAATATCCAATTAAATTGGCAATAAATAATGCCTCGCATGAAGCAGATTTAAAAGTTATCGTGTTTTAATAAATATCAAAGTATCCTGTTCAAAACAAATTAATTATGAATTGCCATTTAAATCGCAATTTAAATCTCGATGATGTTGCGTGTTTTACTCGTTACGATCAGGCTCAAATATTTATCTGTGAAAAGAGCAAAAAGTAGATAGTGTGAGTGAATGAGAACGGACACATGTGACAAAAGATGACAAATTTCTGACAAATGTGACCACGTATATAAATAGGTGTTGATACGGTGATAGTAGAAACAAAAGTCTCTTTATAAGCCTGCGGTAAAAGCTATCTCCAAAATTAACGAGCATTTCGACTGCTCCGACTGCTCGATCGGCGACGAGAGTTGCCTAATTTCGTGACTAGGTCGTCGTCGTCGTCGTCGTCGTCGTTGTCGTCATCATCATCGCCGAGAAACGGATCCCGGGAGAGGATCTAAAAGTTGACTTCAACTCGGACGAACTTGTCGACGACGTCGCGTCTGAGCATCGCTTTCTATTTCCGTGACGCGGTCATCAGCGTTCTAAGCGAGTCCGAAAAGGAGGGGAGAGACAAAAAAAAGGAAAAAAAAGATGAAAATTAGACGCCCCGGTACATCGCTCTGTAAAGAAAACTGTGTCGCGAGAAAGAGAGAGAACGAGGTAAACGACCCGAATGTCTCTGGCAATCGGATAAAATTTATTAACCTAGGTTAGGCTATAGAGCTAAGATACCAATACTACGGACACGAAAATAGATGTTTATAGAGAGTATAGTATAATTAGCAGTATAGTATAATTATAGCATAATTTTTTCATCGTAATAAATAATGTTAATTAATATTAGTATTAAGTGCAATATTATTATACGAATAATTTTCAAATAATTTTCTTTCATCAGAGATTTATAAAAATTCATCGCTTTTAAAAAATAATTGCATTGCCTTTTAATCTGGTTTTTATTTAAAAAAAAACATTTGACTTGTATATACAGTTAATTTTATATGTATTTTTAAATTGATTCTTGAAAGCGAATCTTGATGGCAAAAATTTGTTGAAAATATTCGAGAATCACTTTCAGTGCAATCTCCATTGCAGAAATATATATACTTTCCTACGAGAAGAGATAACTCTCCAATAAATATGCAGTTTATTAAGGAACTTTCGTGAAATATATATACAGTTAAGAAACTATACATCTATATATATGTGTAAAGGAACGACATCGTTAAAAATCTTCTCGTAGTTTTCCTCTGTAAAACAATTTAAACTTGTTCAGCAACTTCTCTAGCTAGAGAAGTGTTTCACGGCTCGTATATCTTAGACGCTCAACTTTAGTAAGCAGGTTTGCTGAAGAATTTCAACGTAACACGAGTTAAAGCAACGTGTTAAGAAGCCACGCACGTGAATAGCGGCGATATAGTCGTTTTCGAGTCACATTGTTGGCTTCTCTCACAAAGCATTATGAAAATGCGCAATGGACGCACAATGCATCGCTATGCAAGTGACACTTCATGTTGCATTTTTGATAAATGATGATCGGTAGGCGAAATCCGATCGCTCGCGGGAATCTGTCATCGATGAAAAAAATGGAGAAACGGGAATCGGATTTTACTTTTTATAATATTTATAATGCTGATGAAGCTTCTCTCTCTGTCAATTTTAAATCGAATGAATTATATATAGCAAATGAAGTCTTCGTTTTCGATATATTTATTTAGATACATCTAAAGTATTTCTCTTTTACCGCGAAAAAATAAAATATAAATATAAATATAAAGAGATAAATGGCACGTGATTCTTGTTAATATTTCAAAAAAATATTTTTAAAACCTGATGGAATATATTCTCTCAAATATTGCGAATGTATAAAATATAGAATGTATAAAATATGAATCGTTACAACCGATAACATCATATTTGTACAAGCAATACAATATACAAAATAAAAATATATAAACCTATTTTTTTGCTAATTTAAAATTTTAAAGAATACACATGTGATACACACATAATGAAACATATTTGATAGACGTACGAATTCGAAACTCGTATGTGTTAATGCTGTTCTTGGAACTTATACAAAGAATGACTGCCCCTTCTCTCTCGCAATCGAAGTCCTAAATGCTTAAACATCCATTATAATATTCTGACGATAATTAATCCGAAGCCGTCACACGATTATTAGGTCAGAGCCCACTCACCCATTTATCAGCACGGGCCAATGTCACGTCTGACGGTTGACGTTTGTAAAGTAACCATCGTCACAGCTCAAACGAAGTCGCACAATTTTCTTGTCATCAATAATCGGTATTACGACATGGAACGGCTTTTCACATCATCAGAAATCGAATCAGATCACGAATCGTAAATATTCTTCAACGGATGTAATTCACAATAATTCACAATAATTAAGATGCTTTGAAACACTCTTTCATTATATAAAATGACACGTCGAGATATAACACTATTATTTTTAAATTATCGAATATAATTGACTTCATATCTTTTTAAAATTAACTGATATTGGGAAATGATATATAATTTAATAATGTAGTACATGAATATAATGTGTATAAAATACAGAATTATCATAACATGGAATAAATGACAAGCTTGAAGAGCAAAAAGACAGTTCACAGATTCTTATTAGGTCATGCAAAAACCACTGTAAATATAACTGACATGGATATGGATTATTTAAATGTTTTGCACTTTAAAATTTGCTTTTTTAAGATTTCTAAAATATTCACCAGAGCACTATTAAAATGGAAATTTCTGAAAATCATATTTCAAAATTAAAAAATGTATTTAGGAGCTATAGTATATAGAAGAAATAGTAAATTTCGTTAATAATTTAACCTCTTTCCGATTATCCTTCTTGAAAATTTATTTGTCAATATATATTGTGTCAATATATATATTGTCAATATACATTGTTTTAGGCGATTATAATTATTATATAGTATCAATTCTCCGATATCTACGTTGGTCAAATCTCTCGCGATTACGATACTACAACTTTCGATTCAATTATTTGTCATAGCTATACTAAAGTCGCTGAAACGAAAAGCTGCGGAACAGACTCCGGGAATCGTTTTGTAGGTCGTGCGGAACACTTCGTGTTTCTCAAAGATATACCTTTGCCAAATATTATATTTCGTACGCAGACATTGAGGAGAAACGCGAAAGCTCCGATAATTCATGCGTCGTATTATCGAGGCGAATCCAGACTTAATCTGGACGAGGAGATCAACGAAGAGCCGCTCGAGTAAAGATAGAATTTGATGAGGTCGTCATTAAGTGATCTCGGTTTTAATTAAGTCGGTTCACATTACGAAACGTGGCGTAGATACCGATATCGTCACGTCCATAACTTTATCATTGAAATTCTGGATCGCGCTGGTCCAGACTTCTCATAAAAAAATTGTACGTCGAAAAACACAGAAAGCGCTGCCGCATTAAACTTGAAACAAGATAATTAAATAAAAACAGGCTAAATTTGTATACTCGATTCGCTGAAAAGTCATTTTGATAATAAGATACAGGTTGTCCGCATGAAAGAGGCCACAGTAAAAAAAAACCGAAATGAGTATCCACGATCCGATTCCGATCCGTATCTCGCGGCTTCGATTCGCCATTTCTTACTAGTTCTCCCACTTTTCTTCAGAACCGCAAATCGTCCGGTATCGATTGTGCAATTTCTTACGCGGCGCGTAATCGACTGGAATTGGAAAAGACGTCGGATGGCGAATGGAAAAGACGACTTTCTCCCAAGAATCAATCTTAAGATACCTCGGCGTGATTTCACACTCGGAGATTATATTTTATATTTTTAGAAAACTGTCAATTTCAATTGTACCAACTAAAATGCTTGTTTAAATTAAATTACAATAAGACAAAAATGCTTTTTTCGAACAAGCATAATTTAATTATCTAAGAAGAGTTAAGAAAAAGAATTAATAATTCAAGTTTTATTCATGTCGTTCTTTCGCTACAGTTTCTTTCATCCGAGTCTTTTTTGTCAAATAAATCAAA